TTATTTTTCTGTCGGTGATATGTTTAACTTATGTTGAAAAGATATTTAACTATCTATTCTACTCTAAAGAAATCGAGTACTATTTATAATTATCTCTCTTTACAATATATAAAAATAGAAATAATATAGTACCAATCGGCCCATTAAAACATCATGAGTACGCATTCCAAAGAAGCTGATATATTCCTCTGGTTTAATACCTACAATAATCAAAGAATGATAAAAACATAAACTAACCATTTTGTTTATTGAATTTACCCTGTTTTTCAAATGTACCGTACATGGAACCATCGCCTTTTGATATTGAAGACATTGTATAATACATGACATTTTGACGAGGTTGATCCTTGGCAAAAGCGGGCAATAACGGTATAACAATATATACACGAAATTTTTGTTTTAACCTAGAAAAAATTGTAAAAAAAATAAAATAATTTTCAGATTAATAAATACAAAATGAAACGAAATTGCTGTACGACTATTTTTATTTGATATCTTCTTGGGTAAACTCGTCGATCTGCTTTTAGAATTTCTGCGGTTTGAAATTTCTGCGAATTTAGAAATGCCATGAAAATTTCGAGAAATGCAGAAATTCCAATGGAATTTGTAAAATTTTAGAAATTATTTTTGAATTTTGACAGCGTTGTCGAAATTCTAAACATTTTTGGAGTTTTGACAACGCCGTCAAAATTCCAACACCGTCAAACGTAATATCACGGCTTAATTAATTTAATCCTGAATTAATTTAATCCGGAGTAAATTTAGCAACATTTATTCAACAAAAACTACTATTACAGACAGTGCCGTCGTACAATAACAAAACATTCATATCAAATTTTCCATAATTTTTACTTTTGGATACAGAACAGAACACCAGAACATAAATATAGAAACCAATTCTCTTGTTTTACAACAACTTTATAACTACAGCTGCATTTTTTCCATCACTTCAGTAAAGCAGAGAATTTTATCAAGATTCCGCTACGTCCTTCGACAACAATATATACAACAAAGACGAATCACTATCCAAGTCCACTTTCTTGCTTCATTCGCGTCGCAAACGCGGTCCTCACTCGCACTCGCGATCGCACTGAAATCACGCAACTCGTGCCGCGATAGCAAAAAAAAAATCGCTGGTGTCGCGGCGCAACCGCTATGAACACTTATTTTTGGAAAATTTTTAATTCGC